TCTTGACCCCGGCTATCGCTGGCTCACTCGCCTACAGGAAGGTTTTTCGTCCTTTTGCCCTTTACCAATTTCATGCAGGCCATCCAACTGGCTTGCAACACCTTATTGGCCTTCTAGATGAGGAGGATTCTAGACATGGAGTGATTGGTCTGTGGTGGGTTTCGTTGTGTGTCACCCTGGACTGTAAGACAAGAGAGATTCTCCTTTTCTCCTCCTCCCCAGACTGCTCCAGTGAGTTAGCAAGTGTTTCCAATAGGCTGTAATGGCCAACTCTTTGTTACCTGCTGTGGGTGAAGGGTGGTTGCTCGGGCACCTTGGTGAACATGTTTTGGGAGGAGTAGTAGGTAGGATGGCACAGCCAGCTTCCCTGAGATCAGTGTTGTGCAGCAGTCCTGCCTAAGATTCACACATGCATGAATCTTGATCCCCGTTGGAAGACCAACTTATGCTTGCTTCCCTGCTGATTTCCACAGCTGCAACCTAGCTTTTCTCCTTGCCTCTCCTCTCCAACCTTATCCCTGCTTGACCCCACGCTCTTTCCTGCATAGAGATTTTAAGGCTTGACTGAACAGTACATTGGACTCAGGAACCGCATTGTTGGTTTTAGCTTTATTCATCTCGTAGCATGCATGTATTCGTGTGAGGAGGTATGGGAGAGGTAAGGAGGGATTTGGGCCTCATAAAGGTGCTGTGGGCAAATCCTCCTTTCTTACAATTATTCTGAATCACTCGTCTGGCATTACTGGTATCTCGGTCCTTTCTAATCTCTCCAGTGTCCCAAACAACCTCCAGCCAAATTTGGTCCTTGCTCTTCCAATGTCTGACTGGGCCTGTGTGAAATGTGGAAGCAATAGGAAATCTGTCATCGCATCCAAAACAGGCATAAACCTCACCTGCCAACCTCCCGAAGTGATTCCAATACTCACTTTGAACCCCTACTCCAAACTCCAGACTAATGGGGTCTGCATCTCTGCTCGTTTGATCATCACGTATTCCAGTTTGTCAAAACCTCCCTCCTACCTTCGCTAAGGATGGAAAGATGTTCTCGTGGCTTTAAGCAAGGTAGAAATACACGCTTCTGGATAACAGCGAAGAAAATAAGCCTACAAGAGGTACGAAAGAACTCGTTTTCCCGGCTGCATTTCAAACTGGAAGCATCCAGCTGCCCAGCTCATATCAACCCCTTTTTTCAGCCCGACAGGCCGGTCTGCCTACTGGTCCCTTGTCTTCTCCAGGACTGGGGTGGTTTGTCATGCTAGGGAGCTAACTGGCACAAATACGGCTGCAGGAAAAGATCACTCCCAGCAATTGATTGCAGAGACATATTGTGGGACCTTCCAATGGATATTCCAGTCTAGCAAGATAAAATACCTTGGCCAAACGTGGACTGTGATCTGTGCCATTGTTTCCCTCTGCTGATATGACTGTCAGATGCCCTCCTGCCTCCCTTAGTTATGGGTGTCCTCTCCTTTCGGCATCTGGAAAGATCATGTAGAATGTTTGCTCCCTGTATGCATGTAACCTGTTCCAGCCTTGCCCCCTTATTTATGCAAGTAGCACCTTCCTCCCCCACCTCCCTTTCCCCAGTCTCTATGCTGTCCTAGCACCATTAACTCTGCATTAAACATATGGAATAATAAACTTAAATGTTTCATTTTCATGTGTCTGCTTTTTTTTTTTTACCTCTTTCTTGAAATTCTCCCCCCCGTCTCTGCATAAGGGTATGTCTCTATACCACCACACAGACTCTGTGCACAGCTTTCCTCTGCCCATCATTGAGAAGACACAAGCAAAATTCTGGATGATCTACCAGACTCCTCCCTGTAGATGAAGCATCCACCATTCACAAATATATAGGCTAAAATTGTATAGGATAAAATTCAGCCTATACAATGAAGCCTACACAATTCAACCTATCCAATAAGAACAGTTTTGTATGTGCTTCACCCAACTGTTTCTTGGTGTGATTGCTAACACTCTCAAGAACAGGAGCTTGGTCTTCTACCTCCTCATTTCCTCATCTCCAGGTGGTAGATCATATACCTTTAAAAAAGCCCCTTCCCCACATACATGAACACACATACTTCGGAAGCAATCAAGAATTTCTCTGTAGAAATTCAAATACTCCTGGGCTTCTGCGTGTTTGAATATACACACACATACACAGTGTATTCAAGAATATATAGATTTGCACCCTCTTCTTTGTTCTCAGGCTCTGGGACACTATCTGAGGATGTTTGGAAAAAAAATGTACAGCATATTTTGCTCTGCTTAAGGACGACATCTATCAAGGCCAATGGTAGCTAGCTAGGACCCCAGTTAATACAGGGGCTCCAAAATAACTGAAGAGTTCCAAAAGATTTCCAGGCAGAGGCATATGATTTATCCAGTGAATTTGTGTTCACTAGATGCCTTACGAGTAGAGCAAGTAGGATGCCTATGAACCATGGAGCATATTCAAAGCTTTTTAAAGCTCACAGCATTGTTCAGATGAAGTCCTGTGTAGGGCCAAGAGCGCCCGCAGCGTAACGACCTCCTGAGCTGTGGTGTCAAGCTGACAGTGGTGTAAAACTAAACAGTTCAGTGCAAAGGGGGACCACGGCCACTCGTTAGGCTGGAGACAAAATCTTAGCCTGAACTACAGGCTACAGGGAGAGCGCAGAGGACGACTGCACCGCTGAGGAAGTCAGGAGCACCTGTGGGGTAGCAGGGAAGCCACGGACACACTAGGGGTAGGAGAGCTGGCCACAAGAGCGGTGAAAGTAAGGGACGTGATGGGGATGAGCAGGAGAGTGGGAAATGAAAGCCCCTAACCTGACGCAATCATCGTTCTCTAGCTCTTGGAAAAGCAAACTAAGGAAGGGAACACATTCTGCCTCAACCATTCTCCAGCAGAAGGGGATGCTTCACCTTACCTAGGAGTCTCCTGACAACTGAGGCAGGACTGAGAACATCGCTGGTAGTAAAGGGGTTAACTACTCCTCCTGCAGTCTAGCAGGAGCTGGCCCGGCATCCTTCCCTATCCCTTTAATCGTATCTGATACAGATGCAAGGCTGGGGAGGGGAGGCGGGTAGGAAACAAAGAAGCCATTTAAAAAAAGGACAAGAAAACGACCCCCGCGCTCCATGGCGGACGCCAAAACGATTGCACAAAGGCACCATTTCAGGGCTGAAATTTCACCGCACCAACGTGATTAAAGGATTCCACAAAGGGTGGGGGGAGAAGGCTGAAAGTCACAGCGCTGCAAATTAACCTTTTCTTGGTAAGGACAGCCTGGCCCAGGAAGCACTCGTGTTCCTCAGGGCCAGCCCCTTCCCATACCTGCCAGCAGCTCCACATCCCCTTTGACCTGTCACTTTGTCCAGAGACCCATTCAGCTCTTGCAGTCTTGCCTCCAAAGCCAGCCCCTCCTGTGCGCTTCAAACGCTGGGCACATCAAAGCAGCGAGGGACCGATGCTTTGACAGGGAACACCAAGAGTGGCATACATGGCTGGGTGCGTCAGCCAGGTTGCCAGGCACATGGATATAAACTCTCTGTGGGATGTGGATGCTCCTCGGCAGGCACGGGGTACATGCACAGCATGGAGAACACATGCTCTATATGGGAACACATTCTATAGGAGGAAGTACAGTATTTACATGTTCTATATGGGAACATGTTCTATATGAGGAAGTACAGTATTCAACATGACCTAGTTGGAAAGATTCTTCCTAGACCAACAAAGATACAGCAGCAGGTACCACAGGCTTGCTTTCCATTTGTTTCCCCTCAATTTAACTTCTTTTAAACACAAAGAATTACAAGGGCCCTTTTAAACTGATAATTGCTTCTAGAGACACACTCAACATGCTCTGCCCAAGAGCTCAGGTCTTCCTCTCAAATCTTGGAGCACACAGAAGATGAAGAAACAAAACCAGGTAGTGGCTGACTAGAAGCTCCTGTAGATTATAACACATACACCCAACTTTTCTCAATTGCAGTAAAAGAGGCTAATTATCTATCCCCTCTGTGCATCAAGAATTGAGAGTGTTGGTGTTTGCTCCTCTGGAGATCTTCCAAACCTGCCTGGATGCCACCCTGTGCCACGTGCTCTGGCTGTCCCTGCGGGGGCAGGTGGGTTGGACTAGATGATCTCTAGAGGTCCTTTCCAACCTCAACCATTCTGTGATTCTGTTTAAGGGGACAAATTATTGCATGTTTCTCACACAGCATATTAAAGGAACTTCATAGCTTAACTGCTCTGCCAACACTGTAAGACCCCCGCAGCACGTACAGCCGAGAGGGCCCGAGCGTGCTCACGCCTGCAGCTGCCATCAGTGCAACCACGCGCCGGAGCGCAGCTGCACTGGAGCAAGTGCAGCCACCGAACACACGGCGCTGAGCTGGGGGGACAGCAAGTGGCGACGGCGCTTCCGGCCGGGCAGCGCCGCTGAAAGGGGATCCCCCGCGCTGATAAGCAGCGGGAGCAGGGAACAATAGGTGACTTGATGGAAGCTGCTCTACGATACTCCTGAGAAGCCCCGTAGCCAGCTCTGGCCAGGGAGGAAATTGGGGGTTTCCACAGCAACCTGCCTAGGGCACAAAGGCCCAACTGTCTAGAGGGAAGCAATGGAGGTGTCTGGGCACTCCAGCCTCTGCCCGTTTTAAGAAAGGATAGGGCTGGAGAGCCAGAGTCCCTCCCCAGCCAAAGTACCTGCGAGATCCTTTCTGTACAACAGTGGTTTAATTGGCTACTGGTCCTGTGAGCAGGGAGGGGTGGCAGTGGCAAAGGAAGTAGTTCCTACAGCCTTTAATCTAGCTGAAAGGGATAGGCTTCTCCGACGAAAAACTGCAAGAAAGGCAAGGCACTTTGCTTTCTAAGCCCATTAATATAGCCCACATCGTCTGCACAAAGAACACAGTGAACAGGCTGGTAGGGAGAAGAAAAACTCTTCTCCTGGGCATATAGGACGGATGAGAAAGGGAAAGAACAAAAATGTTCAGCTAAAAGTAAGACAGTTTACAATTTATTTACACAAATATAAACAAAAATAGAAACATCTGCTGTGGAAGGAAGAACCAAAAGCAACAGCTTTGATCAGTCTGTGATAATTAATTCATCCACACCCCAGTCTTCGTAGCTCCCATCTGGCAGGTATCGGCGGATGATTATGGGGATCTTGCGTGCTCTGAGGAGAGGACACAGAGGTGAATGGAAATGCCAAAGCCTTCACTTTACCCTTTCAGCAACCAACAGGAACTGCAGGAGGGTCTTAGAGGCTTCAAGAAGCTCTTCAGGTTTACCTCGAAGATCTGCGAAGCACCAGTGCTTCATATTACACAGCAAGGGAAATCCCAACAACCCTCTCTTGCAGGTGCAAAGCACTGAGTGCCCTTTAGGCCCAAAATAAAGACGTGAAGAAGGTCAGCAATCCACTACTACCACAGAAATTGAGCCCTGTGATCTGAAGCACTAGGAGCCAACACCAAATTCCTAATGAAGATATGGGGGAGAAGGAAGAAGAAGTGAGGGGACTCGAAATATAAATCCACTATTTGTTTGAGGGAAAACTCAGTGAAGACTTTTTTCCACACCAGTCACTACAGAAGTGGCAGAACTCCAAGAACGTGCACAAAAAGTAATGACTTTTACAGTGGGTTTTACACTCTAGGCATCCAAAGTATCAATTACATTTTAAGGTTACATGAAATTGGTACTAAGATGAGCTACCATGGGGGTGGAACACTGCATCTGCTAATGGCATTTCCAATTAAAAAGCAAGGAAAGGCTGAACACAATTTAACTTACTGAAGGCAGATTTAAGTCAGCAGAATGTAATTAAGCAGTCTGGAATCCAATCAGGGCATCAGGTTTACAACCATATCAGCCTTGAAGAGTCGGACAGCATCTTTAATGATCATAAGCATTCAGCAATTGCTTCTCCCTTATGCCAAGTATTATGATTGAGTTTTGGCACTGAACAGGACATCCCTGTATTTCCTGCCTGCCCTGACTCCTTTCCAGAGCTCGCACTCGCGACAGTGACCAACCAGACCGAGTTTGGAGACTTGACAGGAAACAGGACCTGAGGAGGTTTTGGCAAGGACAAAGGAGATGTAATAAGGATGCAAAACCACAAGAGCAACTGCAGTGCACCAAGAAATTGTGAGAGTAGAGGGGACAATTCACTTCAAGAACAGGGATTTAATCAGAAAAGGAGTCTAACTACTCTGCTTGGAAAATACTTGTATGTGACCTAGGAGGTCACTGACTGTATTGGTGAACCGTGGCCCAGCAGGCAGCCTTGCTGTGGAAAGGTGGGCCTGTCAACAGCCACCCAGAAGCTGCCTCTACTACAGTCAGAAAGGCTGTGACTGTATTTACCAGGATATGTTGCATACCGATGAAATAACCACATAAAATTCCCTTTCTAACATGGAGGCAGGAAGCAGGGATGGGTCTTTTGCAATTGCAGTAAGCCAAGCATGGAAAGGTGTAGAAAAAGAAGGTTCTTAACAGAGTTTCCACATCACAAACCTGACCTGTATTTTATTTTTGTCAGTATTTCATTTGAACACAGGTTTGTTCAAATGGCTGCTTTGCATTAGTTCCTTTCAGGGAATTAAACTGATTCCAGAAAGATGGAGACTTAGGTTCTCACAGGAATAAAAACCACTCAGACTCCCAAAAAAAAGATGTCAGGGCTCTGCAGTACTCTGCAGGAGCTCCTAGGATGGGAAAGAGCAGGACCCAAGCAACCTGCAGTTGGGGAGAGGTCCCAGCATGGAAAAGGGGACAGTGACTATAGTGTTCACTGTTAGAATGCATGCACAATCCACACAGGATAAGCTGCTAAGTGCTAGGGTGAGGACTGGTTGATAGGTGCAGTCACAGCCCAAACCCGAAACTTACTTGAGCTCCTTCATGGCAATCAGCAAGGGGTCTGTCTCCCCCTCCAGCTCCACCATCACAGGGGCACACATCCTGTATGGGAAGAGCAAGAGTCACCCAGAGAACACACAGAGACACAAGAGCCATAACCCAGCATGCGCCTGTGTCCTTCACCCAAAGGGCAGCAAAGCAGAACACCACCTTGGCAAACCCAACCTGTATTTTGAATCACTTGAGGAAGAAACTTCCCCTACTCTGAGCAGGCAGTGGCAGCACCTGCTTTACTAGATGCAGGCAGCTACGGATTGAGCATTTACTTGAACGTTCCTCTCGGCCTGTCCCTCAGCTGCAGCTGGAGCTTTGCAGTCAGTCAAACCCACGTCCTCCTGGAGTCACCCTGGGCTGTGGGTGAATGCGAGGAAGGAAGGAAAAGTTCTAAAATTAACCCAATAAAGAGGGTGGAAACACTGTAAAAATAGGCCTGCCATCTACAATTCCACTGCATCTCTTAAAGCCTGGAAAAGATGAAGAGGTCAGGAAGTATCAAAAAAAAAAAAAAAAGAGAGAGGGCTGTTTTTATGATGGACTATCTCCAGGAAGGGGAAAAAAAAAAAAAGGCATTTTGCAGAGGGTTTAGCAGCAGAGCTGGCATGGCTGACTATTATCTGCCCTCCTAAGCAACAGCAGGGAACAGCAGCTCCCGTTATGCGCGGACAAGGCCACTGGGGGCTGCTGCTGGCCTAGAGTCAGTGCTGAAGGCAGAGGCTGCAGCGAGGCAGTACCGGGCACCAGAGCCTGGATTACAGGCCTGGCACGGACCCACCTCTGCTCTTCCATTCCTCTGGCCTTCCACCAGTTGGGGGACTGTGCACAAAATAGCTTCACAGAGGGGAAGACAAAGTGAGGGCTATGGAAAGATGTGAGCACCACTCAGGAGCCTCTAGACGAGGCTCCTATGGAGCAGCAGCTTTATTCCGAGGGTGAACGTAACCAGGATAAAACCAAGATGTGTTTTCAGACGAGCTTTCCAAAGGCTTACAGACAGCCTAGCAGGCTCGCCTGGGGGGCAGTCTTCCGACAGGCAATATTCAAACAGCCCTGGAAAGGTGAATGGAAGATGCTGAGAGCTGCCAGCCTTAACAGCACTTAAAAGAGGATTTAAGTACCATTGCGTATTATAAATGGGGCCCCACTCATCAAAATACTTTAGACACATATAGCTTGCTGCAACACAACTGCACTCTAAAAGGAAGTCAAGATCATTAGGCTTAATCCCTGCAGCCCAATAGTATCACCCAGAAGCATCCTGGCATGTTTTTTCCCTCAAATGTTGGCTTTTGCAGACAGTTTCTACAGTTTCCAGCCTGGACTCACTCACCCTATGAGAGGCAGAAGTCAGGATTGCTCTCACACCCCCTGTGACAGGGGGAGGAGTTTTGCAGCTGCCGAGTGCCTGTCCTTCCAGGCAAAAAAAAAAAAAAAACCCATAAAGTCCCTTCGCCAGGGGAGGATCTGGAGATTCCACCCGTGGCCAAGGGCTCAGCAGCTTTGCTTGGCAACGCCGACAGAAACAGAAGCTCAAAAAACTTGGGGATCCCTTAAGGAACTCCCAGAGCTCGGGAGCATCTCCAGGAGGGAAGCAAGCAACTCTGAGAGGGACGGGGGCCCGTGGGGACCGCGCGGGACGCGGAGCGAAGCACTTACGCGATCTGGAGCGCCCGCGTGCCCAGCACACGCGCGCGCTCGTACTTGGTCATGTAGGGGGTGGTGATGCGCTTCTGGTTGGCCTGCTGCCGCTCCCCCGACGGCAGCACCTCCACGTTCTCCTGGCC